TTTGTGCAGGATAACTATTCAACTGAGGAAAGGTTCTGAAAAGTGTTAAGTGGAAATAGAGGAAGGAGCAAGGAGTGTTTTCTTTCCCCTTTCCACTCTCTCTAGAAATCATTGGGGAAAAATATCCTCAGGTGAGGATTAACAAAACAAAACAAACATACACACACAAAAAAAACCCTCTTTCTTCCCCTAGAATGAGGGCTGATGGATCATCTTTGAATGTATTTCCATCCAAACTAGCTGTGATTTTGTAAAGTATACTAAAATAGAAGTACTTGTACTTCATTAAGCTTGTACTTCAGAATTCTGGCCAGGCCCCAGAAGATATTTAAATACCACAGATCTACAATTTCACTTATATGTAAAATCTAAACAAACAAACAAAAAAGCATACACACACACACACACACACACACACACACACACACCAAAATAAACAAACAAAACAATCAAATTTATAGATACAGAGAACAAATTGGTGGTGGAAGGTGGAAAAGGGGTTTGAAAATATGGCTGAAAGGTGAAATGGATTGAGAACTACAAATTGCCAGTAATAAAAACAGTCATGGAGCCCTGGCCAGGTGGCTCAGTTGGCTGGAGCACCATCCCATACACCAAAGGGTTTCTGGTTTGATTCTTGGTCAGGGCACATACCTAGGTTTTGCATGTTATCCTCAGTTGGGGCATTTAAGGAAGTCAACCGATCAATGTTTCTCTCACACATCAGTGTTTCTTTCACTCTCCCTTACTCTCTAAAAAATTAATAAACATACCTGTGGGTGATGATTGTTTAAAATTAGCCGTAGAGAAGTAAAGTACAGCACAGGGAATATAGTCAATAATATTGTAATAACTATGTTATGGTGTCAGATGGGTACTAGACTTATCAGGGGTATCACTTTGTAAGGTATACAAATATCAAACCCCTTATGTTATACACCTGAAACTAATATAATAGTATATGTCCACTCTAATTTTAAAATAAATTTTAAAACAAATAAACAATACTACAGACACATCATGCTCTACTTTTAGAGTCTTTGCGTGTGGTATTCCATGGAAATGTCTGATTGAGGCAGAGAACATATGCTGCATGTTTAGACATTTCATCTTTGGGGCTTACTGATCTATTGGATCAAAGTGGAAGACGAGTGTGAACTGAGGCTTGCAGTTAAACTTTACAGTTTGTGGAACAATCCTAGTCAATCCAGAAAGCTAACCTTCAGGAAAATACCCCATCCCTTTGGTCATCCTGCTCACATCATCATTCCATTCCCCAGTCAAGCTTTATATTACTAAGTGGGGGGGAGGAGGTATTTTATTTTGTTTTCTGCAGATCTTACAAAGGGCTAAAGGGAGAATATATTTCTCTGTGAAGGTTAGAGTCTTAATACTACATAACAAAATACACACATTAATATCAAAAGAGAAAATGTACCAAGGAGCGGTTTTTTAAAAGGGTCATACTGAGAAGAGGAGGAGGACTTTTTTGGAGTATATGTGTGCACAGTAATAAGCAGGAAATTGGGTGCAGAGAAAGCTATTCAAGTTAGCCTAAAATAGAGTTTATAGATGAAATCTACCACTTACCTCTGTTGTTATTACATGATCCTGTTGTTATTAATGATTAACAAAAGAGTCACTGTCTCTTTAAGCTATTCAGTGCTGGGAGTCCCCAAGTGGAATTTCACTGTGTGTGTGTGTGTGTGTGTGTGTGTCCCTCCCCACGATGGCCAGCTTAAAGGACAGCACAGCGTGGATCAACTCCCAGTCAGGGCTGGTCTAATTACATTCTCAGATACATGATATTAGGCCCCAAAAGGTTTCACGTGCCCACAGACCCTGTTGCCTAGTACAATATTTCCAAAAAGAGTTGGCCTCCAGTCCAAACTGCCTGCACACTGAGCAGTGAGGAAATGCACATCTTTCCAGAGCAGAATGAGTGATTTTCAGTTGCTCCTCTCCCCACTGTCTCCCAAAAAGGGAGAGGGAGAGTGACTTAAGTATTCACATGCTTGGAAAGCAGCTCAATAAACTACAGCTTTGGAGAAAGAAGACAGAGCTTTAAGTTATAGGAGCCTGTGAATATGAACCAAAGAAAAAGTAAATCGCCAATTAGGAGACCTGAGCCTGGACTGTGAGGCCTGGGAAGATAACTGAGTAGGAGGCTGTGAATTGTGAACGCTGCCTGCCCACGTGAGAGAAATACGCAGGGTTCTTCCTTCCACTCTATATGCCTCACCCAGCCTCATTGCCTTCTCCTTTTGGGAAACACACACACACACACACACACACACACACACACACACACACTGAGATGAAAATAACTTAGAAAAAGCAGCTTTACCCTTCCTTTCAGACATCTTGTTTTCCCCCTTTTGTTTTTCATATTGTTGTTTTGCTGCCTGCAAGCATTTCTGAAAGTAGTGGAGGTTGGGAAAATGGGGAAAGTTGGTCAGAATGTCTAAGGATGAAATGTATGGAATTTCACTACAGTTAATGATACTGTGGTATATATTTGAAAGTTGCTAAAAGAGGGCTTTAAAGTTCTCACCATGAGGAAAGAATTGTAACTGTGAGCTAGATGAAGGATGTTAATTAAACTTATCGTGGTAATCATTTCACAATATTGTGAAATCACAATATACTGATTTGATACATATAAATGTATCAAATCAGTATATTGTACACCTTAAATGTATAAAATGTTATCTCAATTATATTTCAAAACTGAAAAAATAAAATAAAAATGAAAGCAGTGGTCCACCAGGTCATTTGCTGTTACTTTTTGTTTTAAAATCCTGACCCTTGAGGCTGTAAAGGCTGGCTGGAAGCCTTAATCAGATGATTATGGCTGGTGAATGCCATAAAATTTTTGACCCCAAGTGAAAAATGACTTATTCTCCCTTGCTGTAGCTATGGAGTGTTTCCTCAGCTTCCTCACCAAGCTAATGATCCTGAAAAACACCCCTTTTACACACAGAGAACTAAACCAAACCAACCGGGATAAAGGGACACCTAAGAGAGGTATCCCACCCACTTCTCGCTCACTCCCAGTTTTATGGGGCCAGCTGCAACTGGTGGCCAGCTGGAATCCTGGGTAGAAATAAATGAACTGGAAACTTCAAGTCACTGCTGCAGTGGACTGGAAAAAAGGAGCGAATGCCAGTGCCGCGTGGTCCCAGAGCCCAACTCTGGATGCCACCTACAGAACTCAGCACCTCAGTGCTTGGGCTGGCCACATGCACACCCTGTCTGCCCTCCACATATTTGCTGGTAGGGTTTGGGCTAGGCCATCAGCTTTTCCGCTCCTCAGACACTCTGTAAATGCAAAGGTGAGCAGCTTACAGGGAATGCTTCCTAAAGGGACTAGAGGAGGTAGCTTTACTCCTTTCTAACTCTGAACAAATACTCTAACCTTACTTCCTTGAGAAAAAGTTTTAATCTCTGCTCTAAGTTTTCTGTAAGAGATACTACTCTATTACTGCTACTATGTCTACTAATGACAATAATAATATTCAAACTTTTCCAGGAGCAGCATTTCTCATTGCCTTGTGAATGTTTGCTTTCTTAGGAAGAAGAAATACATAAAAAGTTGCTCGGTTTTTAAAGGCAGAAATGAGATGAATGAAGGTTAAAAAAAATAAAGTAGAAAAGAGACTTTTATTTTTTGCAAATTGACAAAAAAATAAAGTGAAGTTTTAGGCTAATAGGCTTGTCCTTTCCTAGGATCCTTCAAAGAGATGTGAGAAAGAGAAGGAGGTGGGGAGGAGGAGAGAGGGGAAGGAAAGAAGAAAGAAAGGAGGGAGGGAGGGAGGGAGGGAGGGAGGGAGGGAGGGAGGGAGGAAGGAAGGAAGGAAGGATGAAAGAAAGAAGAGTGGGAGTTAGTTCTTACTGTTTACAGCTAAAATTTAAATTACATTATCCCCACACAGCAAATCTTCTTTTGAAATAACTGTCTCTCTAGAGGACACAAACCTTAGACTCGCCATGAACTCGAAAATTCAGAAGTTTGACGTTTATTTGGAATTTCATGGGCAAACTAGAGAAAAGAATTAGCGCAAATTTGCATCCTTTCATTCCACTAGACCATGCCATCAGGAATATATTTTACAATAATTTCCTTCAGACAAATTCATTCCCAATTTTCACAACTTTTTTAAGGGAACAAAACAGATCCACACTCTCTCACTAGCCTGAAGATTCTACTGAATTCTATTGATTTTTATGTCTTTGAACACAAGCTCGTTAACCTGAAACACTAAGGAGATGACTATATTTCACTGAGTTTATAACTGAGGGTCTGAAAACAGAAAGATCTCAGGACTGTGATGTCTGTTGCTCTCTCCCTAGCATTCCTTTTTTTTTCCTCCTTTCCTGACCCTCCCCCAATTTCATCTGCAAAAGCTATGCATTGCTTTCTTAACCCTAGAGCTTTCACATCAGTTAGAAGAAGCTTTCTTTAAATTCATCCTTCTTCATTATAATGGTTGGCAAAATCAGAGTTCCGGTCTTTCCACTGACTCCTGCCTTCCTGCAAGCTTGCAAGCTATGGTGGAGTGGGGTAATGTTAGGATCCAACAGCACTGCTGCTGGGCCATCAAGCTTCGCTGCCTCCTCTAAGCTAAGAGAGCTAGCGCTCCGCTGAGGAGCTATGTTGGATTTATGGAAATGAGGTCTTCCCAAAACTCCACAGGGACTTCCTTGCAAAAGAAAAAGCCATCAGGAAAAAATTAGACAACACAAATATAAGAAGCAGCCTGCCAGACAAGTAGCCCTGTGAGTGCACCTGCATTTCTTCTATCTCCCCAATCCAGGAGAGTGAGAGGTGCCACTCTTCCAGATGACAATGATGATGATGGTGATGATGATGGAGCAACTATTTTACCCAAGTAACCAATATAACATTTTTGTGTTCTTGACTTTTATTTGAGATCTCTGACGAGATCAGATGAACTGTACCCTTTCATTCAAGGCAACAGACATCTTCTTCGAACTGCTTTTTAATTTGATTTATCCTTTGAAACAGAAAGTGCATTACATTTAACTGGTCTTGCAAATGGGGGGGGGGTGTCTTTTCTCTTTACAAACCGAATTCCTTATATAAATTAATAAATGTTAAAGATGCTAATATATCACCATTATTAGCTTAAAAAAAGGAAAACAATTTACATAGTCTGTAGTATTCTTATCATACAAAACACTTCAAATTCAATTACAGCAACTAAATGGATTTTTATGTTTCTGACCCAGAGCAGTTGTAACAATTCCCACCATCTATTTTAACACGCATTTTTAAAATCAGAAATGAGTTAAATTAAATACAGGCTAGGCAGCCCCTCCCTCCCGAATACTTTCTTTAAATCACTAATAAATAGCAACAAACGACTGTGCAATTTCAGAGAGGAACGGAGAGGCAGGTTCCGCTTCTACTTCAAGTCCTGGAGGCAGGAGGCTGGAGCCAGCGCCGCGCGAGGGAGGGGGGTGGGAGGAGTGAGTGGGGACGAGGGGGAAAGTGAGATCCTACAAACCCAAACCTTCGCTGAATAGCTGGAGGACGGGGAGGCTGAGAACGTCCTTTTCTACCGGATCTCCAATTAAGTTCAACATAAAAGGGGAACGGGTGGTTTTCATAGCTCTTAAAAGGGGGAGGGTGGAATGAAAAAAGGGGGGAGGGTGGAAGGGAGAAGGAGGTCCGTCTCTTATACCAAATTCAAAAAAACAAAAAACATTTTACATTTTAAATATTCACAATAAAGTAACTTCTAGTCAGTGTGACTCACGATTTATTTACAAAGGGGCCTTCAACAGGTGACTTTAGTCCGCACAGCAGTGTGTGTGGGGGGGAAGGGAGTGGGGGGAAGAGACGCGAGTCCCTCTTCCCATCCTTGGCGTCGGCCCGCCCCGCTTAGCTCCGCGGTTCCCGGCGCAGTAGCCATCGATCCTACGAAAACTGGCCCCTGAGCCCCTACCCCCTTCCCTGCGGTGCAGAGGCCGGGAAGCCTGAGTGCGCTGGGGGTCGGGGCCGCCCGCTCCTCCGGGTACAGGGCGGGGGCGCCGAGCTGGCGCGGAGGCTGGCCCGGCGGAGAGTTTCAGTTGCGCTCTTTAGGCAGTGCATCCTGTCGTTTTCCTGCCTTCTTGCCAACCCCGGAGTCTCTCTCCCCCATCTCCCTCAACTTTTAGGTTAAAAAAATAGATATGGACATCTCAGAAAATAGCAAAGGGCCCCCGCGGGCCGGGAGGGTCGGGACGGCCGGGCGAAGGCGCGGCGGGCGGGCTGCGCGCTCAGGACGAGCCGTCGGCCTCGGACGCGTGCAGCAGGAGGCCGCCGCCGCCGCCGGACTTGTGCTTCTTCAGCAGCTGCGTGATCTTCTCGTCGTCCGAGTTGGGATCCAGGGGCTTGTTGTAGTCGTCGTCCTCCTCCTCGTTCTCCGACGCCCCCTTGAGCCGCTCGGTCTCCGAGTCCTGCTTCTTCTTGGCCGTGGCCATCTCCGCCGCGTGCTTCTTCCGCCACTTGGTCCGGCGGTTCTGGAACCAGACCTGCGAGCCCATCGGGGAAGGAGGGGAGAAACAGAGGTAGGCAGGAATTACCCGGGAGCGGATGCCGCTACTTCGCCCACAGCCCCGCAGCTGATCCCGTGGGGCCCCTTGATGGCTGGCCGCCCGCCCTCGCAGACCCCTTGTCTGGGCTGTCCGAGTCAGTCCCCGTCTCCCCAGCTCCTCTGAGGAACAGGCACCTACAAACTGCTTGCCCGTTGCCATAGCGATAGGAACAAGAGTATTGAGGTTGTCAGGGAGTGATTTCTCAGAAGAGAAAGAAAGAAAAAGAAAAACACCAAAACTTGGAAACTTAAATTAAGTGTCCCTAAAAATGAGTGCACTTTTCCACTTTCTAGTGTAAAGTGGAAAACTCTCCCCCTTTTGAAGCTGCCCGAGAATAACTGTGGTTTTACTTTGTTATATCCTTTATTAGAGTAAGGTATTCCAAACAACCTAAATGTACTTGCTTTTTAGTGTGATTTGTGGGAGAAAGCATAGCATTTATCCCCCTCCCCCAATTACTTCCGTTCTCCTTTGCACTTTTGGATATATGTCTGTTTATCACAAGTCTGAATACACACAGACATGGTAGTTTAAAACCCCATGTACACATGCAATCATATAATTTTGTTTAATTCTGCTAAAACAGAAACCTCAAATCACAAATAATAACCAACATAAATGCATGCAAATATTTAGGAGCTCAGTCACAATCATCTCAGTGTGGTGTGTGTTTGTCTATCTGGTTTAATGTTTTTCATAAAACCAAAGAGTGGAGTTTTCATCAGCTTTTTGGTAAGTGAAATTTTGCAAGTTACATTATTTCCCACTATTCAGCATGCCTAGTCTTTCAAATGTTATTTTAATATTTTCCTCCCCACTACACACATTTTACATAAAGATATTTAAGCCTGTTCACCACATTTGATACCATGCTTGATACACATATTTTAACTTAAAGCACTAAGCAACCAATTTTCCAAACATATTGAATTATCCTCTCTTTGTGCTTCTCAGCCCTTTTCTCATCCGACTGTTATGTATTCTGTCTAGAGAATCAAAATTGTTATGAAAGTGATTCTGATTTTCCGTATACAGCTATCATAATTCACTTCTAGCCACGCGGACATATTTACAGTGACAAATGAAGACCTCCAGACTACTGTGGCAGGCTCTGTACCAACCACCACAAAAACAATTTTAACAGCGATGGTATTCTAATGGCCACACAAAAATCACCTGTGCAATTCATTTTATGATGCCTGTCCAAGGGGCCATACTCTCTAACCAACCGGCATGGCTAACAGTTATTCCTACTTAAAGAACAACAATATGACTAATGGAAACAGACTTAAAGACATGCCCCCCCCAAAAAAAATTCAAATACAGTAAATGAAGAAGAGAAACAAAAGAGACTACTGGAAATATAGGAAACTGCTAGATTTAACTTATCTGTCTGGCTCAATCCCTTTCTTTTTCAAGGAAAGATTTCTAACATTTGAATCCCTGGAAATATGCTATCCAACTCAATTATAAGCTAAGTGGCATTTTAATTATACGTCGTTGTTGTCATAAAACAGTAAAATGTCACATCTGTTGATAAACATATTCAAAACAATTCAATTTCATAATAAAGTAATAATCTTGTCAATTCATTTGGAAAATTGGTGTGCCAAAGTGATTGCCTTCAGCTAAACTCAAAGCAGTTGCATCCATGCTAAGTGGTTAAACGCTGTAGATTTATTTTTCGAAACCTGCAAGTTAATGTTCAGTACCACTATAATGCTGATCTATGTTAGGAAATTATAGGACTGGGAAATTATAGGACTGGCGGAGAACTTAATTAACAAACAAAAGCTTGAGTATCTTTACAAATAGAATAAACAGAAGCTATCTAACTGGTCTGATCTAGTCTCAGGGCTGATATTTCAGTAATGCTTTTATTCTCTAATAATGATGAGTTCCCCCCAGCACAGGCCTCTATCTAGATTAACCTCATTTCAAAGGCGGGGGTGAGGGGGACTTGATTCCTTTTGTTCATCAACAGTTTGCCCGCCCAGGAGAGCCTTTAACCTCCACCCCCACCCCTTCGCAGAGCTGATCTCATCTTCTCCTCCTCACACTCTTCAGACACTGGTTGTTAGATTGGGTGGGAGGTGGGAGGGGGAGGGGAGAGAGAACCGACACGGGTGGAGAGCCTATCCCTGTAGCTGCAAGGTCCACTCACCTTGACCTGACTCTCCGTCATCCCCAGAGAATAAGCCAAGCGGGCCCTCTCGGGCCCCGCCAAGTATTTCGTTTGTTCGAAAGTCTTCTCCAGGGCGAAGATCTGCTGCCCCGAGAATGTGGGTCTCGTGTGTTTCCTCTTCCCGTCTTTGTCCAGCAAAATGGATCCTTGATCTGCGAGGATAGATAAACGAGGGCGGGGGAGAGGGGAATAATTGGTTACAAGCCGCTCCACGTAAAAGAAATGAACTTGCAAAACAATGTTTTGGGGGGAAAGAAAAGCTTATCCCATGGCGAGCTCCAGGAGAGTAGTGGCGCTTCCCCTCCCACCGCACCTCTCTGCCTTTAGATCCCCCCACACACCATTTAGACCCCCCCCCCCCCCCGCAACCCAGTGTTTTAAAAGCCAGGATGTTTGGAGCCCCACTAACTAACCTCCCGCCCAACACCGGCGTCAAACAGCCGGGGCGGGTGCCCCTAAAGTTTGCCGAGCCCCGCGGTCGGGCCCCAGCGCGTGGGGAGGGACGGGAAGGCCGCAGTCGCCTCCGGGGTGGGTGCTCCGCCGGCCCCGACCCTCTGCAGGAGGAGGACCAGCTTCGCTCCTCGAACGCTTTCCTAACCTGTGTCCACGTCACGAAGGGAGCCTTGTGTGTTGCACACAAGACAGCGAAATCGCCCCCAACTTCTGCCGCCGAGGGGGGCGGGGGCGCCGCCTTTGTTGGCGGCCCCTGCGCGGCCGTCCAAACGAATACAATAGCGTCTCCCGCACCCGCGCCCGCGCCCGCACCGCCCCGGCCGCCCGCCGGCCCCAGGCTTCCCGGGGGAGCCTCCGTGGGGGTCCCCGAAACTCCCCTCCACTCCCGCCGCCGCTGCACCACAGGAAAGCGGTCTGGAGACTCGGAGGAAACTTCGGGGACTCGGCCAAACGGAAGGAATGAGCCAGAAGGGGAGCCGGGGCTGGGCCCCAGAGCGCCATCGGAGAGGCTGGGAAACTCCAGGGCGAGATTAGGGAGATCCCGGGAAACTCGGCTGTTTCAGGAAAAGTCCCTGCTGGAGGTTGCGCGTCCCCAGTCCTCGTTCCGTCACCTCGTCCTTCCCCTGCCCCTTCCCCGACGCCCCTCGCTGGGCCCGGCCCCAGGCATCCCGGCCCAGGGTGCTCCCTGGGCCCAGGCAGATGGGAAAGCGGGGGACCAGCGGTGGGAGCGGCCAACGGGACCGAGCACTTGCCCTCCTCCTGGGGTCGCGGCCTATCTTCCATGGGCTCATCCCGGCCGATCGTTTTTGGGGTGCAAAAGGGGGAGGGAAGAGGATCAAAAAGAGAGGTGGGAGACACCCAGGGCCAGACATATACGCTCAGAGCTGTTGGGGTCTCACCACCGGGGCGGATCCCCACCCGTTGGTTCTCAGAGAGGAGGCCAGTTAAACAAGCGAAGGTGGAGTGGGGCGGGGAGGGGGGGGAGTCATAGCCTGCAGAAGGAGACTGGAAAGTAGGGGTGCAGACGTCCGGGGCGCCTTGGCCTCTCCTGCTTCCCCCATCCCTCGCCCCACCTCCTTCACCCAGGCTCGGCCTGCGGTTCCTGCCCGACGCCGGGCGCTCGGATGGCACACACACCCGCCCTGTTCCCTGCGGAGGCGCGCACCGGCTCGGTGAAGCGTGTGCCCAGGACGGGGGAGAGACGGGAGCCCGACCGCCAGCGCGGGTGCTCCGGAAAGAGAGAACATACCTCGGAACGCCCCGGCCCAGCCTACATCGTGGGGGTCCCAGCGCTGCCAAACTATTGGGGCGGCGATAGGGTGGACGTACCCACACGCACACCGGATAGCCCCGACCCCGGAGCCCGCGGCGGCGTGCGCTCGGCGGGGCGCGGGCGCCCGTACTCACGGGGGCTGCAGGCCAGGCGCGCGTCCCTCCAGGGCGGGCTCTGCATCACTCCCGGCCAGAAGATGGGCGTCCGGCCGGGCAGCTCGGCCAGCGGCTTGGGGTAGCGGCCCACGGCGGCCACGGCCGCGGCGCTGGGGCTGAAGTAGAGCCCGGGCGGCGGCGGCGGCGGCGGGCTCAGGCTGCCGAAGCGGGGCAGGCCGGCCAGCAGCCCCGCCGGCGAGGAGGCGGCGGCCGCGGCGGCCGCGGCGGCGGCTGCTGCTGCAGCAGCCGAAGCGGAAGAAGCGGAGGTGGACGAGGACGAGGAGGAGGAGGAGGAACCGGAGGGCGAAGCCGAGGGCAAGGCGGCACCCGAGGCCACGGGCATGGAGGGCCGGCTCAGGATGTCGTTGATGCCGTGCGGGGTGGCGGCGGAGAGCTGCTGCGGGGGGCTGCCCAGCGACGAGAGCCCCCCCGCGGCGCCGGGGGGCTTCAGGCCGCCCGGGTTGTGGGAGCCCAAAGGCGGCGACGGCGACGAGGAGGAGGAGGACGAGGAGGAGGACGAGGAGGAGGGGGGCCCGGCGGGCAGCGGGGGGTACGCGGCGGGGTACAGCGGGGTCTTCATCTCGGCCATGCTGTGCAGGGCGGCCAGGGGCGGGCTGCTGAGCAGGAACGCGCTCTGCCGGGTGCCCTCCATCGCCCCCACCGCTAACATCCCACGGCCAGGCCCGAGCCCTCGGCCACTCAGCGAGGGCGCCGGCCGGTGCCCCCGGCGGGGCTCTGGGGAGCGGGGAGCGCGGCGGGGGGAGCGAGCGAGGAGGAGCAGAGCGAACCCGGGGCGGCGGCCGGCCAACCACCCGGGCGGAGATCGCCGCTGCCCGGAGCTGCTGTCGGAGCTGAGCCACCGAAATGTGCAAGCACACAGGCCAATGGAGAGGCGGTGGCCCTCCCGGACCCGGACCCGCGGGCGTCCGGGCCGGTTTGCCTGTCCCTTCGCCCCCGGACGCCCGGAGTCAGTTTCTGTCTCTCCTCTTCCTCCCTTCGCCTCGCAGCTCCGAGCGCGCTGCTATGTCTCCTCTTCTCCCCAAGCCCGAGAAATAAGCAAAACAAACCCTTGCCGGCCCCGGAGAGTTCGCAACAAAGTTAAGAGTCACCAAATCTCCGCTTTGATGTCGGAGGACAGGGGCTGGCTGGCTGGCTTTCTTTTGGAGAGCTTCAAAGGACGCCGGGTTCCGCCCGAGGAGCAGCGCCTCGGAGCTGACGAGGGAGCCCTGCGCGCTCAGTCGCCGGGCGGATTCGCACTCGGCGCCCGCGGCGCGCGCGGAGGGAGCGCTCCCGGCCCGCGGGGGTGTCGCCTCGGGGCGGGTGTCGCCTCGGGGCGGGCCTCCTCCGCCAGCCGGAGAGGGCCGCGTCTCCGATCGGAATCCCCGCGGCTCCGGGTTCGCGGCGCGCCGACGACTCGCCCGACTCGCCTTTCCCTCTGGGCGACAGGGCACTAAGAGTTACAATATTAAAATATAAAAAAAAAAAAGAAAGAAAGAAAAAGAAAAAGGGGGAGGAGGAAAAAACACAGGAAAACAAAGACTTAAGTGTGAAAAAAAGTCTTGATGGCTTCAGTTAGGGCTCTGCTCCTCTGACCCACTTCTGCAAAATGGGCCTGGCGACCCCCGCCCCACCCCACCCCCTCAGCGTCCTCTCCTGTTCCTCTCACTCGTCTCCTTTGCCTCCCGCTCCCGTGTTCTTCGCGGCTGTGCAGGCTCCGCTTCCAAAGTCCTGTCCTCTGGCCAAGAGGACCCTCTCGGCCGCGCTCTCCGCTCTCCCTCTCTCCTCTCCTTTTTCCCTCCGGGCCTGACAGTTCCGATGAAGCTCTCAAAGGTAATAAAACATTTGCATCCTTCTCTACTCCTCTTTAGAGGGGGGACGGACGAAAGGCTGGGGGAGGGGGGGAGTGGGGGTCCAAAATAAGAACTTTGGGGGACGTCACTCACTCCGCAGCACCGGGAGGGGCGGGGCCGAGGAGCGGGGTGCGGGCCGGGGGCGTAACCACCGACTCCAATAGCGCTCAGCCCTCCGCATCGCATTGCTTCTGGGGTGCGTCCACTCGGGAGCGCCTCTCCTTCTGATTGGCTGGAGACCGAAAGGCCACGCCCTCCTGGTCCCCGCCCCACCCACCTCCATCCCTCTCGTGGGTGGGGCCGGGGGCGGTGCCTGAGAGTGGTGCGGATCTAACTGGGCACCAGTGGACGCCTCAATTAATTAAATAAATTGAGAAAGGGGAGGAGGGGGGAGCCGAGATGAAGAGAGTATTACTTTTTAAAGAGAAGAATAATGAAAACCCAGCCCTTTTATGGAAAAACATTTCATATTCTTCCCGCGCCTCACCCCCCCCCTTTTTTCCCCCTCGCGTCACCCTATCCCCTCCCCCCACGAGCCCGTGGCGCCTCACCTCGAACAGAGTCTGGTCCCTTGTAAAACGGAGCTAATGGAGCAGGCAGCCGGCGCAACCCTCGCCCAGCTCCTTCTTTTGAAGGGATTAATTAAAGGCCATCTGGGCTCTCCCCAGAATTGTGCAAATTAATTTGTTGCTCCTTAAGCCTATAGATGTCCTTAATCCCCTTATAGGCCGAAGGAGCGTCCTCTTCCGTCTTGGCCGCCTCCTGCTTTCTCTTTTTACCTTTCTTTTCATTCCAGAGTCTCCCCCCACTTCGATCATTATTATCATTTATAGTTTTGCATAATTCGCTGGGAATTAATGGAAATATGTATCTCTCGTGTAAGGCTTGGACATGAGAGCAGTGAGCTTTAAAAAAAAGAAACTTTCGTCCCCTTTGATTATTGTTATTTGTTTTACGTTTTTACCCGGGGCAGAATCACCAAAATCAAGGTGGAGTTTTTAGACACTGAAGTACCTGGGTACCGGTCTCAGAAACTCTAGCGCATGCCCTCAGCTGCAGGGCAGTTTTGGAGGATGAAGACGGCCTGTTTTCTGGCTGTAGGGATGGGATGCTAAGGGCGAGGAGTTGGAGGGTGGTTTCCGTATTTTCTCCCAACCTCTTCCATCCCTGGTTGGTGGGTCTTTAAATTTCCGATGGGTTGAGCTGTGTGTGTAAGAAGGAAGACCCTTGCACAATTTTGGAATTTCAGGATGTTAAAGTAACACATCCTTGGGACTAGGGGAAGCAGTCACTAAGTCCAATTTTAATTCGCAAAATAAAACAAACAAATGGCTCAAGAGTAAAACTTGAGCGGCACCACCCATGGATGGGGTTTGGCTCTCAGTGCCAAAGCACTCACAGGAGTCCGAGCAGGAAAAGCTGGGAGGGCTTAAGCCGCTCACATAACCTGCATTACCGAAGCACTGGCCTTTTAAAAGTAGCCGCAGAAGTGGAGTGTGAGGGGTTTTTCATTTTTCTATTTCTCTTTAGCCACTTTTATTATTCGCTTCTGAGATGAAAGAAATGTTACTCTTATTTGGTCTCCCTCTTCCCTCTCCACCCTTCTTAAATTTTCAGAGTGAGCTAAACCCATCACTTCAATAAGACCTTAGGATCTGGCATGGGAGGAGGTGAAGTCCTTGGCTTGCGGGAATTATGTTAAGTCGGGCAAGAAGAGAGCTGATGTAGGGACTAGGGACCATCTATGCTTCCCAGGCAAGCATGCTCTGCTGGGCTGTGGGTCTAAGCCCAGCGCCCTGCCACTCTGCCTGGGAGGTGGCGGCAGGAGGGAATGCCTGGTCACCCTGCCCTGTCCCAGGAGCTGGGGCCCCTCTGCCTCTCACTTTGTTACAAAGGAAACTTTTTCTCGCCTCCGGAGACTCCAGCACAGGCGGGTGGTGGTACACAGACTCCCCATCTGGACCCTGCGCCTGGGCCACCAGCGACTTCTCACATCCCCAGGCACCCGCACCGCACCATATTCTCAAGTTCTAGGTAGAAAAGGGAAGTGATGGGGGGGGGGGGGGCTAGTGATCCCCAAAGGTTCTCGTTGCAAAAACCAGAGTCCCATTATTTCAGGTAAGGATTGTGACCCAGGAAAGAACTGGACATCTTCTTATTGTAAATATAGTACCGAATAAGGGATGGTGTGAGGTCAAGAGACAGAGAAAAATTAGAGAGACAGGGAGAAGGAGGGAGAGGAAGAGACATAGATTCAATTCAATCCAACTCCTGGTTAACTGCCCGTTGCTAAATCGTACTTGCAAAGCTGGCTGCCAGTAAGACATCTCTGTCACTCACTTTTATTTATATAGCAGAATCAGAACAGCATCATTGTTCTCTGTGGTGACCATTTAAAAATGCTGGGGTCTGTGTACCTCGATCTCCCCCCTACCTCCGGGGAACCCCAGGTGTCTGAACCCCATGGGCCAGCAGCATTCCTGACTGCACTGCCTGGTGCTGCAGGCCATCGATCTGGGGTCCAGGCGTCTGTGTCCAGCTGGGAGCCCGGAGAGTGAGGGGCACCCTCGGAGGGGGTGGGCTGTCCCTAGTCTTTCTCAGGGTGCGATGATCTTGCTCATGAGAGGCTAAAACCGCCCTGGGGCCCGGGCCCATCTCTGCACAGCGCCTGTATGGGGGGCGGGACTGTGCTGGGAAGTGAATGATTTGTATTTTCACTGAAAAATAAATGGAAGCTCTCTGGCAAATGCTGAGGTTGCAGGAAAGGGATAAAGGATTCGGGGTGGGCAAGGTGATGCACCCCTGGCCTTTCTCAGAGACAACTGCACCTGTTTGCAAGTCACGTGGCCGCCGGCCCAGGTCTCACCCCGGGCTCCTAACCGCCTAGCGCGTTCCCGTTTTTATGCCTTTAGTTGACTGAACGGCCACTGAATTCGGGGTAACTCACGGGAGGAAATGCAAATGAAATCTCAGCTAAAACTACTTCAATCCCGCGGTCTGGGATGAAGGATGACTCTTCTTCCCCAAATATATTAATGTCAAATGTCGGGGAAACTCAAGTGTAGCCACAGGGAGCCAATTCCATGCTCAGAAGAAAAAAAAAAGGGGGGGGGGGGTGGTGTCAGGGGGACAAAGAATAACGCGCGTGCTTCCGGCCAAAACGCTTTCCAAAATGCGTTTGCTTGAGTCGTGAGGATGACTTCGGCCATGGTGCCACCTCAGCTGGCAGATGACCTGGCCGTGTGGGTGGGACCAGAGGCGGCTAGGCTGGTGTTCATGGTTTAAAAGAGGGTCCAGAGGACTGCCACGTGGAAGCGAGGGGCAGCCCAGTCTCCGGAGAGAAGGGGAAGCCACCTGCAGACACTGAAGTGGGGACTGGCCACCGCTCCCACTGCTGGCGGGGTTAATGGGATGGAGACGCTGTGGGAAGGGCTAGGACAGAGGGGCCTGTGCTGCCTCCTGAGAACCGGTGCTGGGGGGTCCTGTGGCCGCTTCTCCCGGCCGCATAAAACCTGGGAGGGAGGTTGTTACCCCAAAAAGGTCCCAGCCGCATCAGGGACACACTCTTCGGCGTCCGGGGCTGCAGCAGGGCATCCCCTCACGTGTGAGGTCCTAGAGGAATGCAAGCCCTAGCGCCCTCGGAAGGGAGGGGTCAGAAAGGTTCAAGAAGATGGAAAACACTAAAATCCAGAAATCTCTGCGACATCAAAACCCAGATTCAGGAATGAGACTAAAGAAGACACCAATGACTAGAGAGGAAAACTGGTCTTGAACTTCAGCGAGACACACACATAACTTCAGCAAAGCGCATATCTGTATGTATCTCTCCCTCCTCTCTCCCCCCACCGCCTGGGCTTTGGAAAAGATCCAGTCGCTTCCAGGGAACCAGCTTGCTATAAAGTGTATTCTGGAAAACGGGATCCAGCGTTGCATCCTGAGCTGGAAGGAATGCCTGCGGGCTGCGACAGCTTCCCAGCAGAATAAAGTGCTGACCCAGTGTGAACCACTGGATTAAAGGTATCTGGTGTGAATGGCCTTAGAAAAATGTATATCTGGAGGTATAAATAAGGTTCATTGAGGTGGTTTTTTAAAAACGAACATGTAAACTAGTTGCTTTCGATATCCTGCTAGAAGTCGTTGCTTCTGATCTGCAGTACGTGGCTGTGGCTGTGCCCGTATTGGTTCTTTTCCCCCCGCGTGCTTGGCTCCTTCTTCTTTGGTGAGAAAGTTACTTTACAGGCTTAGCTGCTTCGCCCGCAGCGCCAGGGCCTTCACGGTCCTTCTCAGAGAAAGCTTGGGCAATTAGCGCCCTCTTGTGGGAAAATTCCTCAGCCGTTCGCTCGGTCTAAGGAAGACCAGCGCTTGGCCCTGTGTGTTCAAAGGACTGTTGTACCTATTTTCTAAACGAGGTGGTCCGCTTTTGGGTAATGCCCTTAACATTTGTTTAATTTTAATCTGAAATGCCAGATTCAAAAGTCAACTGTGGTTCTGACAACCACACCTATCCTTCTTTATACTCTATTATTTGACTCAATTGTGATAAAGCAGATTTCAAATTTTATTGAAATTATTTTGCCTTTCTCCTTTCCTTTCCTGATTATCAAAGCAATGCTGTGCTCAATACAGAACATTTAGAAAGTACAGAGAATTCTAGAAACACAGTTACCATAATCCTACCATGAGAGGCAAAAGCTTCTGATATTTTGGAATATTTGCTTGCTCTCATTTCTCTAATCTTTTTAAAGCTGTTTTCATAAATATAGTTTTATTGATTTCAGAGAGAAAGGGAGAGGGAGAAAGAGAAAGAAACATCAGTGATGAGAGAGTATCATTGATCACTGCCTCCTGTATGCCCCCCACTGGGGATCAAGCTGGCAACCAGGACATGTGCCCTGACTGGGAATCAAATCCATGACCTCCTGGTTCATAGGTCAAGGCTTAACCACCAAGCCACACCATCCAGGCCATTTCTCTAACTTTTGTTCTATACTTTGTGGGTTATTTTTGCTTTGTTTTGTTTGGGGGGGGGGGT